GTGTTACTAGAGGAAAGGTCATTAGAATTCATCCTCTGAGAATCTTGAATATTGGATATGAATGTCTGATATGAATATTTAATTTCATCTGAACCAAAAATGACAAACTCATAGTGGAGCCAGAGTAAAAGTCAATGTATATCAAAAGTGATATGGATTCGTCTTCCGGGGACAATGAATGTTTGTAGAAAATTTAACAACAATACATCCAATAGATTTTTAGATATTTCAGTTTGGACCAAAGTGGTCCAAAGATCCACGCTGCAAGTGTGGCTACAATCCTCCTGAATGCAGGTTGTTACAACAGCGAGCTACATCTTCGTGAAGAAGTCTTGTTGTGTGTGCTGTTATATAGTCACGACATGCCCTTTGTAATCCTTGTATTAGCAAAAGATAGTTTTCATATACAGTATTCTCCTTTTCTACGACTGTCCTTTAAAGTCACTGAGGGTCGACGAAGACAATAAACATTATATCATTTTTGAAGACACTTTTAAAGTTTGCCTCGGTTCTTTTGCTATGAATGCTTTAAAAGGTCATGCTTCTTTTAACATTATGCAGAGATTTGTCTGTGTGCGTGTGTTCAAATGTGTCTTTGTGTGTGTCCGTGCACATACATGTACGTTTAAGGACTTTTTTTTTTTTTTTTTTTGACCGCTACGGTGTGACCAAATGACAACATGCATTTTTTTCCTTTCCATTTTCGCACCATTTCATATAGCACCATTAGTTGGTTGACTGACCCACAGATGAGCTATGCTTTACAGAATCCAAATTACACTAGAGCCATTTTTCATCCTGTGGAGCTCTTCACAGGCAAAGAGCCATAGATGGGCTTGTTCACTTTCCTTATTTGTCCTTGTCTGCTGGAGGCTTGCCGCTGGCTGACATAGCCTGAATTTAAGTGGACATCAATCTCGATAAAGAGGCAGAGCCCAGAGTAATATTACCTCCTCAGATTTTTTATTTTTTTTTAGCCGTTTAGCAAGACAGCACAAATAAGCATGTTTCACACCACAAACTGAAATGTTAACCTCCGATGTGAAACAAAATATTTGGATCATTGTGCAGCATGTGTGTCTTTTAGTTTTACATGTCTGTATCCAGTAAGGCACAATCTCAGTTGTTTTTAGAAACCTCAGCTAAGAATAGGACAAGATGCGTCTATTTGCATGGCTGTGTCGTGATGATAACAAGATCTCCTCGGGCTGGCCAGTGGCCTATCTCAGTGCTGCAAAAGTGATGCAGGGAAAATTTGGCTCAGAGTGGCAGCTAGGCCACTGTGGACTGGACTTCATGCACTCTTCATAAATGAGAGTCATTAATTCTCCATGTAGGTAGAATTTTTCACATGCGGCACAGCAGCCCCTCTTCCTCTGGGAAAAAAGCCATACCCTGGCCTGACTCGACCCAATCATCACCACTTCTCATTCTCCTGCTCTCGTCTTTCTCTCCCTGTCTCCTCTTTTGTCTCTGTCTGCTCTCCCTCAGTTAGGTACGAAGACAAAGTTCCCGGCTCCCTCTGTTTGTCGAGCCCATCTGATAAGTTGCAGATAAGTCACCATTGTTGGGAAAGATTGCCATCGCCTCTGATGCTGGAGGCACTCTTCTTTTCTCTTATTATGAAATGAGTTGTTCCCACTTGGCTCCCTTGACCTAAATATTCAGTATTTGTACTTGACAGTTTTTAAGCTTATGCTTGAATTTAGATTTTTTTTTTATGCGTGTTTGTTATAAAATAAGCAGACGTACCTGAGGCAGATGAATGAATTTACATCGTAATCAGATTAAACAGCAAGCTGTATGGCAATGCCGCATTCAAATTATTTTCAAGAACTACAAGACAAAAAAGCAAATATTCAGCCTTAATTGCAGTTAAGTGTCAAGAAACATGACAACAGATCAGCATCAATGTTAACAAATCTTAATTCTTTATTGGATTCAATTGGAGTGCTACTGTAGAGAAACCATTTGGCACTGACGTACAGTAGTCTGTATATTAAAATCTCAGCGAGCATCACAGGCTATTTGCAATCCACAGTGTAAACAAACAGAAGAGCTCTTCAAAGGCTCAGACTTTGACATAATTGGAAAGGAAATGGAGCTATCTTTTCCTCTGCCATCAGTGATCTGAGGTCCCAGTAGAGTGAAAAGCTGGACAGGTCTGCTATCAAAGACCTGCAGTGTAATTTATTTATTTTTTTACATATACAGTCTTTGCCTCCTATTTCCTCTTTAAATCATTTGCCACCTTTCACAACTAAGTTCTTTTGAATGTGTCTGATGAAAGTTCCTTTGTCTCATGTGTTTCTTACACAGTTTCAGTCACTGTCCTTTGGTCTCCCCCCTCAAATATTATCTGTGTCTCCAAAAATTATACCATTCTCTAGTGATGGGTGGGGTCAAGGGAGCAGCAAGCCAAATGAAATATATTGTTTCAAAGAGCAACAAGCCGCTTACTGCATTTCAGTGCAGATTAGTTCAACAGTTAAGGCACAAGCATGGAAGATGTCATTGTTTCTGTAGTCTCTAAATGACAGGATGACCTTATTTAGTAAGGAGGTAATTGCAGAGTCATTATGACAGCCTGCTGCTGAGGTCTTTTCCTGGGAGGTCTGTGGATGGAGAAAACTCTCCTGACAGACTGTCTAAGTACTATCTCCAGGTCTGGAACTTGAACACTTATGAGTTAGTGGTTTGGTGATGTCCAACTCCCTGTGGCACCCCACTCAAATGCAGAACTGCCATTACAAAGCCTTTGGCATACAGACATACTGTATACATATAGACCCTGTGGGGTTTGGAGCACTTTAGCACTGTTTCGTGGCACTAATTAACTTACTTAGCCTGTAAATGTTTGCCCAACTGAAATCTGCATCATCACAATTGTAAATAAGTATTAATTAATTAAGTATTTTGAATGCAAAATCTTTTCTTGTCTTTTTTTTTTTTAAGCAATCTGAGGTGTTAATTGAAAGTGAGGAAAACAAATGCACTCTGAGGAGATGATAATGGAAAGTGTCTCATGTTCAACAAGGCCTTCTGGCTTGTGTCCACACGGTGATATTAATGAGCCATTGACCTTTTAGTATTCATTGCCCACAGCGGATGTAAATAAGTGCTTGGCTTTCAAAAGTTCTATTAAATCTGTGACTCATCAGCGCTATTCGTTGCGTGCAACATAAAAAAAATAAATAAATAAAAAAAAATTGTTGACTTGATTAAATTGATCTACATAAAAATTTAATTTGCCCCAAGAAGGATTCATGCCTCATAAGTTTGTGTTACTGGACTGTGATGCAAAGGCGGCGGTAATTGACAAAACTGTCTAGTAATCAGAAGCCGAGACACAATAGTTTGTTGTTTGATGCTATGACCTCCAGTGAAAGGTTACATAAAATTATTATTAATATTGTCATTATTGTTTGTATTAATTGATGAACTGTCTGCCTTTTTTAAATGTCAGAAAATTGTCCACCACCACCTCTCAGAGCTCAAAGTGACATTGACAGTTCCTCGTTTTATCCAACCAACAGGGCAATATGCAAACATATTCAATTTACAGTAATATAAAACCAGCAAATCCTCACGTTTCAGAACCAAGAACCACTTTTGGTCTTTTTGCATGAAAAGCTGCTTAAACTGCTGGTAAATCTTTTTTTGATCAACTAATTGTTATCATACTAATTAGGTAGGTATAGTATTTTAGCATTTGACTAAATTCATACAAATGGAAGTCTGCAATACAGTATGGAAAAACACATTTTTCTTTGTCCAATCAACTTGCTTTTTTCTCTTTTTCTTTTTTTTCTTATTTTCTGTGCAAGCTGACAGATCCTGACACACTGCAACTTGGGAAAACGGTAACAAATGAAGCAAGACGAGGTCAAAACGTAGTGTATGGCTGGACCACGTCGTATTAGCATTCATATTTATCTGTTTGCTTCTCTCTTATACTCTCTGTGCTCACATATACAATAGTTTAATAGAGCCAAATTCCCAATAAAGCTTATTTTTTTCAATTCTTAATTACATGTTTTTCTGTTTGAAATAGTGACTGAAACGTTACCTATTAAGCCATTTCCAAGGTGCTGCTCTGCGCTGCTAAAATCATGATTTTATTACAATCAAAATCACCATACACATAAGTTGAAGCCTAGGGCTGTGCTGTGATTTAGTTAGAAGCTCATTCACGTGAGCTGCCATACAGTCAGCATACGGAGGTGTGCCTCGCTAGATTTGTTGCTAGGTGATTATTTGATGAAAAAAAAACACTAAAGAGGTGTGGAAAGTCATTTTGAAAGACGAACAACTAGTAGAAAAACTCCTGAAACACTCAGGCTGCGAACCAGTGTGTAACTTTATCACTCAGTCACACAGCATTTGACTGACCAATGGTGAAAATGCATCATTCAGTCAGTCAGTCAGCAGCATTCACGTTTATAGGCCTAGCCCTGCAGTTGCGTTCCAGCCAAAAAACATATGCAACACAACTGAATGAATGAATGATTGAATGAATAGAATAGACACGAGTGGAATCCCTTTTGCTTGTTTTTCTGATTGTATTTCCCACATTTGCAGATGCATGTCTAAATGTGTAATCAAACCAGTGAACGTGGTTTCTCCATTTACTTGTGTTTTCTTAAGTTGCAGTGCACTGTGTTCTCTCCAGTGCTACTAATATTGGACCCTGCCACATCAGACATGACAGGAATGCATCACTAAGCATTTGAAGGGGACCACATAGTACATCTTACTAAAAATATTGACTGAAAATAGAGATGGTCGGTCACATTCCAATCCAATCATTTTCCAAATAGATTAAAATCACTGTGTGGTGTGCTCAAGAAACTTTTTGCCCTGTTGAAGGTTGTTTTCTGTGTGTGAGTGCTTGACCATTTAGATACCAGTAAAAACTGTTTCTTCAACTGAATGTGTTTCTGTTTGCACCTCCTCCTCCACCATACATCACCCCACTTTCTTATCCACTGTTATGACAGATGCCATGCTGCTGGTGGCGCAGAGGCTGGAGGGACCTTTCAACATTGAATCTGTCATGGAGCCTATTGATGTCAAGATTTCAGAGGCCATCATGAATATGCAAGATAACAGTGCCCAGGTCTCCTACAGGGTATGTCAATTAGCTTTATTCCCCCAGAGAACTTAAATAACACCTCACACAGATTGTTGAAGTCCAACTTCTCAAAAAATTGAATAGCCAGTAAGAGGGGAGTTTGCTGTAAGTCATCCTGGGCTGTGTCTAAGGTGTGTAGTACAACACGTTCTAATTATGTCCAAGTTTAGGTCTTGTATTTGAATTATATGTTTCAGTTTGGTCAGAGAATCTTAGTTCGACTAACAGTAGTTAATGTGTTTCCTGTGTTTTACTGCATTTTTTCTTTGCCCACAAAATTGTAGTCAGAAAGAAAAAAATGTAGGGTGGTTGTGAAGATTTTTTCTTCTGCCCACATAGTTTTGGATGCCAATTTTCATTCAAAGCTAAATGCTCTGTTGGCTTTCCCAAGCAGCAGATGCAGTTTTGTTTATGGTTTAAGTATATGTGGTGTTTTCCCAAAAGCCTGTAAAAACTTAACTCTATCATCTTAAATAGCATTGGTCACAGCTCCTAGTTGAATCACCTATCAACATGGTTACCTCAACTTGACGTAGAGTACTGTCACGCCGGTAATGTGGGGTGAATGCTTCACAAGGCCTTAACAAAACAGAATGTTTTCCCTATTTTCCGCATCCAAAGTAATTTAAAGCCCTGACAATTGGGTGCCCATGTTTTTGTAATTGCAGGTTTTTCAAGGTTGTGGCCAGCCAAAACCCGCAGGAATGACTAGGTCTGCCCGTGGTGTTTCGGATGTGTTCAACGCCCGCTTCAGGCCATACAGCCCAGAGGAGCGGCCTACCACTGCAGCTGGCACAAGCCTAGACAGACTGGTAAGGAGACAGAGCCAATGCTGCTATTTTCAGGCAAGACACTGCTTGAGTGTAAACATCATTTGTCTTTCTGACTTGACACTGTTGATTAAAGCGGGTGATTTGCCATCGTAAGCCCCTGGAGCCGGAAATTAATTCTTTGTACTTGTCTTCCATTCAAGCCCCCTTATTGATTTGTGTTTGTTAACGAATCAACAGCGTTACCCCAAGAGGGCAGTGGAAGGTGCGGTGCACTGCATTCAGTCCCCTTCTCATCTCTGTTTGCTTGGACAACAGAAAAGAAGGGGATGAAAGAAGATAGATGGATAGATTTTGCAAGGCTGACCATATCAATTGTTTGCTGTAAAGAACACCTTTATTTTCTATCAGATTAGTCGTATGTTTGCTGGATTGGATCTTGATACATGGATTTCCATCTCAAACAACCTTGAAACCTAAAATGCTGCATCAGGGTAAAGGTTAACATGGAGCTGACAGTCCAATTCAGCTGAGAGACAGTTCTCATCATGGATTACCTCTACAGCCACACTGCCCCTCCTTTCTCCCCTCTAGCCCTTTTCAAAGTGAATCTTTTCAAATTGTGTCTCAGTTATGTTAAAAATACGGTATTTAGAGCTATTTATGTCAGAAGGCCCTAAAACATTTTTTTCATTGTTGACCCTTGAAGTGATTCAATCAGTTTTAGTGGAATGGCACTCTCTCCCACAGTGCTTAAAACAAGCTTAATGTCTTAGCGCTTTCTGTCAGGTTAATAATAGGTTATTTAGTTAATGAATACATAATTAGAAAAGCAGCAGTTTTTCCCCCCATCTGGCTCTTGGAATCCCACAACAATAAATTAGTTATTTGTTTTATTCAATCCTAATTATGTTTTTGCACAATCTAATTCGTTCTCCACACATTTTCTTGATGCCTTATATACAGCGGTTGCTTTTTTCAGCTTTGTATGTCCATCAATGATTTCCTCCACCTACACTGAATTAATTAAGACTTTCTGTTTCCCTGCCTTTATGCTGCAAACCAGAGGATTGTTTGGAATGCGATGCAACACAGTGTAAGGTTCAAAATTTTATACTCATTTCTTTCTTTTTGGGGACTATTGTCTGGTACTGTTTAATGTATTATGACTGGAAGCGAAAATGTTGTATTAATATTGTGTGGATGGGGAAGCATAGGACTGTATTCTTAGCATTACAGAGACTTACAGTAAACAAGCATTGTGTCCTGTTAATCCCAGTGGTATGCATGAACAAGTGTCAGCTATAGTCTCATTTTCATCTCACGAGGGATTCAGTGTCACATATCATCTGCTCCTTGCCACCCAGGAGCATTTTTCCGTTAATTTATCTGGGGCTCTAATGCAGGAACTGTTCACAGGTCGATAATGGCCACTGTGGTGTATTACGGTATCAGAGTATCATCTGTTAAACGCGGTATTTTACAGTCGAGCTGCTAACTCCAAAGGGATTGTTGAACACATGCCATGGTGTCCTCAGCTAGCAAGGATTTCTCTCTGGAGATCCAACATAAACCTTCGTCAACTACCATATCTATTCCAGACACATTCTAGTCCAAGACCCTCAATGCCACAGTTAATAGAGTCAACTCCTCGAGGAAGCCAACCAATCAGCAGGTGCCGTCAGAGCCGGCAGAGGGGAGAACTGTGAAGAGTTGATGGGGGGAGTGTTGGAAGCAGGAATTGCTCTAATGGTACAGTCATGTGGGGGCTCCAGACTGCTCATGAATAAGCGGGCAATTAGCCTGCGTAGAGACTCCTACAGAACGGAGCTCGATGACAGGAGCTTACCTTCGATGTACGATAACTAGACCAGTGTACCTGAGTAGAAAATTTCATTATCAACATCCGAGTTCAGAGTTCAAAGATCTTTATTGTCCCTAGAGGGGAAATTTGCTTTACAGTAGCGAGCAGGCACACACACACACACACACACACACACACACACACACACACACACACACACACAACATACAAGAAGACACTGGACATTAATCACAGCACTTATAGCAAACAACCAAATAAAAAAGATGTATCTGTTAGTTAAAGGTGTCAAACCACTGGATTGGTAGCCATAATAAAGTGCTGCTGAGCAGTGCAGTCAAGGTTTAGCGCAGGTGTGCCTGAGGAATCCACACTGATATGGTCTGACCACCGGAAGCTGCAAATTGTGACATTTCTGAAACACATTGTAAAAGGTGTTTAGAAAGAAAAAGAACATGCTTGGTTTGTTTCTCGGCTCGGTCAGGCTAACATCCATCACTTCAACTGCAATCAGGTTTCACCTGAGACTGAAAACTCTTTCCATAGATTTAGGAATTTCAGTAAGTGTTTGAATTCTTTTTGGAATATGATATTTTAAATGAGAAACCAGGTCCAACATGTTATCAAGCTGAAGCCAAATAATTAAACCTGCATTAACTGTTTTTATTGGCTGCTTGAGGAAACCAAAAAAAGCTGTAAACTCAACACCGGCATTGTAAGTAGTGTAACATGGAGGCAAACAGTTGCCTTTGCACACATCTCGTGGCAACAGAGCAACATTTGCATTCATTTGGAGTTGTATTTCAGGCAACTTTTAGCTCTCCACCATCTCCAGGAGGAAATATCTGTTTAATCAAGCCACTGTGGAAAAAAAACACTTTGATTGCCTATTTATATAAGCTATAATAACGTGCTAATGGACATAAATATAAAAACAGCAAACAACAGCTATGTTTTTTTCTTGGTGACAAGTTTGTAGCACCATTAGATCAGGTTTCTGATAATGAGCTGTGAACATGAGTGTTAAATACTGTAGATATTGCCACACTAAAGCAGTTCTGCATCTGTAAGCATGAGAAGATTAACCTTACTGAGTTGTTACTACGTGATGAAATAACAAAGTCCTGGGGGTTATGTGGTTAACCATGCAACTGCAGTGTTCCCAGTTGTGAACTTTCACCTCCTCATAACCTCCGCTTCCTCTATCTGCTGTCTCTTTTATATTGTTGTGCTACCAATGTAGACAGAAATACCCATTGTTAAGAGGTCATGATGCCTGGGGATGTTTATCATACAAACTACAAAGATAAGATTGTAAGATTACATGAGAAAACAGGCTTTCTTGCTTTTTCTTCATCTAAGAAGGACTTTACAGTCCCAGCTTCCGCTTGACATAAACATGTTATCTTTTAATAACGTCACAGGGTACGATTTACAATACACTTGTCCCTCTGTGGCCAGATACAATTTAAAGGTCACATATTGTATAAAGCGAGATTTCCATGAGTTTTTTTATTATAAAGCCGGTCTAGGTTCTATATAAGTGCTGTGAAAGTATCAAAGCGCTAAGTCCACAGAGAAAGGCACACAGTCCATATTTAGACACTGTGCCTTAAAACGGGCTGTCAGGACTTCTGTCACTACCCTCAGCCGTGCCCTAAGTCCGACCCACCCGGACCCACCGTCCAACCTTGCAGGATTTGGTTTCTAAGGCTAAGAGCCTCTCTAAGAGCCCCTCTTCTGATTGGCTCACCGAGTTGTTAAATTACACTGAGATGGTTTTTGGTACTTAAAACCACAAATATATCTTCATATGGATATCAAAACTTCAAATAAAACAGCGGAAAAGTGTAAAATATGAGACCCCTAAAGGTATATTCAAACAATTATCCTGCATTGTTCACTTTTTCTATTAAAATGGTTCAGAAATTGATGAGTGCGTTAGATCAGTACTATAAAAGCAGCATTAAACTGTAATCTCATTAATGAAAACTGACTATACGCTGAGTGCTTGTGTACTTTTCCATTATACAGTAAATGAAACAGCCACAGTAGCACAGTAAGACGGCTAAAGTTGCTCGGGAAAGACTGAATTATTTTGGTTGAGGTCATATGTTTTAGATATCTAATGCATCTGCTGTGTCCTGCAGCTTACCTCCAGCTGTCAAACATCTAACAGTGTGAAGCAAGCAAGCAAAGGCGTGGCAAGGACACACAGAAAACTGCCCTGAAAATGCATCAGTGCTCTAGTCATAACCTTACATTTGTACATTTGTAAGTTTTGAAAATTTACATGAATTTCTATTGAGGTGTTGCTGTTGACATCGCAGCCTCTATCAAAAGAAAATAGGAATTTTATGCTGAATATTGGTGTGTCATTACTGACTGCTGAGGTAGTCAGATCACATGAGATCTCATTGAAGTAAATTTGCACCATGCAAAACATGCAGAAGAAACAGCATTGCGATTTGTTACTGGTGTAGTACAGTTCGTCAAACTAAATGGAATCAATTATGGTTTATTGCGTAGTAGACACTCTGCATCATCGCTGCTCCTTGAACAAGTCGGACTGTGCCAAAATGGTTTGCTCATAATTCTTGGTCACTTAAGCCAAATGAAGCATGCAGGTTGTGGTCTTCACTATACGCTATATTTCTTTTGATTTGTCTGAGGTTGTGTTACAATACATTGCTAATATTTGTTACATGTAAACAGTTGAGTTGTAGCAGTAGGCATCACATGTGACAGGTGGTCAGTGGGAGGAAACCAACCCAATGGTGGTACCTGTTTTATGAAAAGCAACTAATTAGCTATAGTTATTAACCTGGTTATTCTCTATCTGCAATATGGCAACGCTGCAGTGCCTGAGTAGGTTGATAGTAATCTTTTCATATGGTTCTTTGGTGGTTTTATTTCTCAGGTATGCTTGAGGAATAAAAACAAAAACAGTAACACAGTGCCTGTGGTTTTACCTGATGCTTTCTGTCAGTGTGCATGTCTTAACTGAAGCTGTCCCTGCTATTTATTTTTCATACCTCTGTGCTGTACATTAGGAATATTTGTAAAGGTAGCAGTCTCGTCTAGCAGCTGCCTCGTGCCATCATTAATGTGACAGCATTTATGTGTCTATCCTCCAGCAGGGACATGACTGGGTTCCCTGTGAGAGCGCATCTTTGTTGTCCCACACACTATCCTCGTTTACATTCTGGCACAGGATAATTACCCGTGACAGTGACACTGCTCAGCCTTGTGAAAGTTGACAACAGTTAAAAGTGTCCTTTGATAAGAACTTCTTGTCTGGATTTACCGCTGGGCTGGTAAGTCAAAGAATGTGCAAGGGATGGCAGGGAGTGCCTGCATTCATTTCTTCTGTTGCCTATAGAGGAGCCTGGAGGAGCGGGCCCACCTCCAGCTCAATGAGCCATGACTGTTTAATTGCCTGACATTCTGTCAGAGCACACACCCTCAAAGCTCCGAGAGAAATGGAGATTTTAAAGTCCAAAGAGGGGATAAAGGCACAACAGACTGTCAGGCTCAGAGGCACATTAAAGATAAGAGGTGGTGCTTTTAATTTGACATTTGTAACAAGTTTTGTGCAGTTCAATTTAGAGGAGTTTTATTGGTCCTCTTTGTCGCCCTTGTGTAATACATGGTTCATATTTTATCTGTATGGCACTATAAACAATGAGGGCAAGACACAAACAAGACTAGACTGTAGAAAGAGCCTGTAGGGAGCAATATTTGTCAAAACCTAACCCTCTGATCCATGACTTTGTGTCCGTAAATAGTATGGGACACTTCTTGAAACTCAATCAGATGTATCAGATATTTTTTATTGAACTTATTAAGGCATCATTAGCAACTTGAAGGTTATTCATGTACACACTCCTATTATTTTTAATAAATGAAGCTGGAGGCAGCATTGGCCAGCTCGAACATCCTTGATTAATTCAGAGAGCTCTCTTCACAAAAAATATCCCAGCAAGGTCAGTTAATCTAAATTTGATTTTTGACTGAATTTCATCACTTTCAAATTACAAGAAGACTCAGTTTGTCTTCTTACAACAAGTACTTTCCAAAAAAAAAAAAAAAAAATGCTCCCAGCAATAGAAAAGACAAAAAAGGAGAAAATACAGTTGAGGTTTCGATTATTGATTAAGCTCAATAGTCCCTGTTTGCATTTTGTCCAATCCGGTTTTCACCTGATTTTTAATATTCAAAATCAGCACTGACATTTTTGTTTTTCTGTGCACACAAACATGATTGAAGATTGA